TTATGACATGGTGCATTATCCTGTTGGTAAACACTATTCCCCCGCCAGAAATACTGTTGTCATGAATGGATGAATCTGGTCCTCAACGATGTTCACTTAGCGCCCGGACGTCAGGGATTGTTCTGTGGGAGATCGTGGGTCCTAATGTGCTCCATGAAAACATTGCCTGCACCATAATACCCCCCGCTACTGGCTTGTCTCCGCCTAACTGTGCATCCGGGAGCCAGGAAACCCTGGCTCCCGGATGCACAAGATCAAGGGCACGCCCGTTGATGTGATGGAGCAGAAAACGTGATTTGCCGGACCATGCAACTTTCTTCCATTCTTCTACTGCCTAGTACCGATGTTTCTTGGCCCATTGCAAACGCAGCTGGCGATGACGTGCCGTCAATGCAGGAACATGCTTCGGCCTCCGGCTGCGTAGGCCCATGTTGTGTTGAGAAATACTGTCTGGGTCACTACTGTAACATTGTAACATGCATTGACTCTTTGACGGGTGGTGGTTACCTACAGTGCCCACCTTTTCTATTGAACTTCTTACTCATCCTTGTGAGGGATTTTCAAGACCGACCATTTCTGAAGTTCCCTTGTAGCTCACTAGATGGCAATCAAGAAACATAAGCCAGTAGTTGATGCAGCAATTTGTCTTCAAGAAAATAAGCATCAGCCATCGAAGACAACATCATGGCGATGTGCACTCTGCAGCACCAAGAAAAAGCCTGTAAGAACAGCGTGAGAATGCAGCACATGCAAAGTTGCACTCTGCTTGAAAAAGAAAACTGTTTCCATGAGTACCGTAGAGACTGATTTGTAGGGATGTGTTCTGCGGGCGGTGGTCACCGACACTAACCACCAGAAGTGGTCATGTTTTTCGAGCGTCTTGGACCAAATGTGTGTAATTGTCGCAAATAATTTCATTGTAACACCTGATGTAGTAAATAAAACAAGAGTTTTACTGAAAAAGTAAACTGCCTTTTCCAGCCTCTCAAACAGTTAATATGCAATTTAACATTTCTGTAATATTTGTTTGCTATTGTTTCTCACTCCAGTGAAGTGAACCTAGCTTCACATTATCACACAGTAATACAAGGGCTCCAGTTTCATAATGATTCTCATTACCTCTTTGAAATTTTCTGGTTCCAAGACTAAAGTAATGTCCTATAAGCGGCTCGTAAAACTCACTCAGACCTACCCCGACGAGACGATTCCTTAATCGAATCAGCATACTCGCTACCAAGTACGTCACTGTTATAATTTATTGCTGGAATGTGGCACCAGGAAAACTGCTTATGCCCTCATGTTGGAAGATCGCCAGTAGCGTAATGGCGAGCAGCCCCTTTTCCTTGGAATGTTGTAGAGCCCTTTACCGCTCCGGGGTGGACCCTCTAAGGGAAACGATTTTCATTTCTCCAAGAATTGTTTCCTTAGGATATACTGTGTTGTTGGTTGCTTTGCGTAAGAAGTTATCTATTGCAGCGTCGTCAACTTCACGGACCACTACATATATAATTTTATACTTGGCAGACCACTTGTTAAATATCTGCATAATCGCCTGTAGTAACGGCAACCGCCGGCAATAAAAGGAGGTGCTTTCCTTAGTGGCACTGCAGTTCCTTTAAGTTCGAGCCAGAGTTGACCTGCCCGGGGGAGAAGCCAGGGGATGAGAGATTCCGGTTCCCGTCCTGTTCCGGTTCCCGTCTTGTTCCAGTCCTGTTCCGGTCCTGATCCAGTCCTATTCCAGTTCCAGTCTGGCCGTTTAAGTTCAAAACACGTAGGAGCGGAAGTCTGAATCCAGCGAATGGAGATATATGCCGAAAGGGCTAGATGGATTCTGTCTTTTAAAGGAAAGTGTTCTTCACCGTGCCGGCATAGCTGTTACTTTAAAGCACTTTGAATGTTTTCCGCCCAAGATGTTAAGTTTTCGTTTATGATGTTAAGTTTTCGTCAGTGTTGAAGTTCCAGTTAAATAAACCTTTAAGTTTTAGACAAGGTTTTTGTGTTCTTCAGAAAATTTTAGATTCGAAGTCAGATATATCACATAGGATTTAGTGGAAAAATCAACACCTCTAATAGAAATTTTTAAAAAATGGTAAATACATTTATACAATAATAATCAGCAAGCTACACATATTTCGTTCACATTGAATTATGTGAACACTACAAGCTTCACATTTCCATATCACTGAGAAGGAACTTCACGAAAAGCAAGAACAAACCGGCAAGCGCACAGCAATATCAATAAACTGATAGTGTTATGATGCCGCCAGTTTTTAATTATTACAAACATAACAATCATCGCTTACTCAGCAATGGTGCCATCGATCGGCAGTTAGACAAAACAAAAACGGAAGCTTCCAGTGATGCAATTATAAACAAGAATGTAGATGGTTCTCATAAAAATCCATCAAGTTGCCTATTGACACGGAGAAAAACTGTGTTAGAAATGTGGGAAAAACCACAATAGCATGTGTTTGTAATTCAAAAGGAAAGAGAATTCCAGTTCGCGCTATTATTGATAATAGCAGCATATTCATGGATGCCAACTCTCACTTTCAAATGTCGCTAGATACACCTGTAAAAGGAGCTAAAAAGTCGCTAAATTCAGAAGGAATTTCGCTCAAATTAGTAGCTAAAATAAAAAAGTATAATCCGTTTTCCATAATAGGTTTTGTTACTCGTCAATTTTTAAACTGAGTCTTCATAGAAATATACATAGTGTCCCAATTTTTCTGCGGACCATTTAAAGTTTTCACGGTGGTCCAACCAGTGGACCATGGTCTCTAACATGTAGATATGCACCTCGTACTTTGGTTACAATCGACCGCACAAAACGTATATAAATATATGTATATATATATATATATGTGTGTGTAATAATAAAATTCCATAATCAAGAATACAATTAAAATTCTAATGTAATGTATGTTCTTTTCATTTTTTAATGGCGACGTTCTCTTATTTTGAAAGTACGTGGAATTAAATCCACAGCCCCGTAGGTCAAGTTGTTTTTCCCGCCCCTTTCTACACGTATACAGTTTTAGAATGTTCTGGAAATATTCAAGCGAACTGGGTTGGCTGACGTCATTTCTTGGAAAGCTCCGCCTTTCCAGAGGCTATAAAAGGACTCGCAAAAGGAATATCAGCGGCTTTTCTTTAATGTAATGATGCAGTAAACTTCATACAAAAAGATAATTAGTAATTCGTTTTTGTTTACTCCGGATATCTGATATTTGTAACTGCTAATTTCTTTTGAATAATAGTAAATGGATCCTGTTTTTAAAACTTATCGTCTGATTATTTAAGCGCTACGACTACATCAATGATTCTCCAACATATCCCCTATTTATTCCGGACAAAAGCTGATACATCATGTACTATTATATATATAATGATTGTACCATTTTTTTGCTTTAAAAATGATTGAATTATGTTGTTCCGGTTATATCCGGTATGTTAACTTTCGGTTAAAGTTTTCATGCCTTTAGTAAATCTGCATAGAATATTGATGGAGTTATCCACAATTTAAAAGTTGTATTCAGTGCAGCTAAGCCTAATTGAGTTTGGCGAACATGTTTGTTTACATTTGAAACTTCGCAAAATAGCGGATTTGTTGCCAATGTAGAGAAACTAAGCTTCGCAACAATAAATCGAACGCCTTCTTTTATTATTGCCAATTGAATCATGCTTATCTAAAATTTATTCCAGGAAATAAGTGTTTAAGATTTACTTCGCAATTTTTAATACAGTTATTTTGAGTTTTTATGTATTTTTGCCTTGTCGCGAAGTGAGAACTGAATCAATTGAATGAGAAATACTCAATCGTCTGTGAAAAACCTGTTTTTTGTTTTGTTTCCTTGATTCCTTTTATGCATCATTTGAGATTTGTTATAGTATTTTAATAGAACATGGGGCAACGATTAGATAATTCGTCAGATGATATAACTTTTGTGCATTCTGAGTTATAAAATGGATGAAATGTAACTCTGTTAAGTGAATCTAGCGCCAGAGTGTGGCTACGGTAAACAAATATGGGAAATTTTAAAGAGTGAATTTATTCTATTGCTGTTTATGCGCTATCGACGAAGTAGATTTAATTCAATTCAATAAGTTTAAATTAAATGCAAGGGGAAAAAAATGCATATAATTTAATATTCGGTATAAGGAAGTCATGTGGTGTACACATCAGGTTTTTTTAAAGAATATAATACAGTTAAATTTAAATAATTTAAATAATTCTCTTGGGCCATTGCTGCAAGGAATGAAATTTGAATTTATCATTCTCTATTCGTAAAAAGCAAATATAAAGTTAATTAAATTTTATATGAAATTGAATTACAAATAAATGATTAATTATTGCTGCGAACTAATCTACAATATCATTTAAATTCTGAGAGCATATGTAAATCAAGTGCAAGTACCAAAATCTATGAATATATAATATATAATTCCAGTAAATTTTTTAATCCTAAAAATTTATAAAAATGAATAGGTGAATAATTGTTGATCAGGCAGGAGACAAGGAAAATTGCCTGCAAACCTAACTCTTCAATTATTCAATTCGCGTTTCGTCATCCATGTAGGCAAGGGTAAAAGGAAAATTGAAAACCAAAAGTAAAACCAAATGTTATGAATTACAAAAAAAGAAATTGAAACAAGTGAAATTAGCAAATAAAGACTAGAATAATTAAAGTCAGTAAAGAGTAGAAATCCAAATTTTTTAGAAAATAAAAGTAATTTAGAAACTCTTGCCTATAAAGAACTTCCCCGACACGAATTATGCAAATAAATCGAAAAGAAACTAGATACTATTTATAAAAATACATAAATAGTACTAAAAAAGGATTTTTTTCATATACAATTTTATTTTTTATCTACTAAGGGATTTTTTTTCATGTAATGAATGTCTTTTACTTTTCATGTAATTAATGTCTTTTACTTTTCATGTAATTAATGTCTTTTACTTTTCATGTAATGAATGTCTTTTACTTTTCATGTACTGAATGACCTTTTTTGACATTTTTCCTCTACAGATACCATCAAAGAATGCAGAGGAACGAATCTTGAAGGCAACGGTATTAGACAGCGATCGTGGCAAGCGGTATAACCTCATTGGCCATGCTCTCTTCCCCCTCAAAGAAATCGATCTGACCTCTGATGAGATGGTAGTTCAATGGAAGGACCTCACTAAAGATATCGATGACGTTGTAAGTATTTTTACTGCACTATAAAACAAGCAACGTGCAAGGTATACCTTTAGCTGAAATGTGTCTCAAGTTTGTAATATGCTTAATTAGTAATTTTAGTCCCTTGTGTTGATTATTAATTTCAATTTGCACTATTATTGCTTTTGTGCTGTTTTAAAATATTTAAGCGTATTAACGTATTTCTTCCGCCTTCTTAGCGTGCCTTCGTGGTGTAGTGGTCAGCACACTGAGCCGGTATTTCAGAGGTCCGTGGTTCGATTCCCGGCGAAGGCAGTTGCTAATTTTTTCAAACTCCCTTGCTTCCAATTAACGTAATATCTCTACAAGCTAAATGCATTTTTCACATGCCACAATTTCATTCGTGAAACTCATCCGAAATGTAGAAAGGAATACACAAATATCATATGATATGATCAAATGGGATTTCTTTTCACAATTAATCAAATTAGGTACTGGTTCAAGACGAATCTTTACTGAAGCCTTGGCCAAATGAGTTTAACTTGTAGAGACATTGAGTTATTTCGAAGCAGGAGACATGAAAAATGAGCAATGCCCTCGAACCTAAGACCTCTCGAATACGCGCCGAGTTTGCTGACCACTACACCACGAAGGCATGCTAAGAAGGCGGGAGAAATACCTTATATACTGCCCCCTTTTAAAGGGCGACTGGGGATTAGGGAACCCAATCGTCAAATCCTGGTGGTGGAGAATCATCATCCACCACCTCTTTCAGTTCGGGCGCCACTACAGATTTATTAGGTATTTTTGAAGCAGGAGAACAGATAAACGTGCAGTGCCCTCGTCGGGACTGGTACCTCTCGAATACGCGCCGAGTGAGCGGACCATTACACCACAAAGGCATGCTAAGAAGGTGCGAGAAATACCTTATAAACTGTTGCCAAAAATTTTCTTGAAAGATCATATATCTTTTTTTTTTTCTTTAGATTATGTGTCATAGAAAATGACTGGATGTTTCTCAACGCTGGCATGCTGTCGGCTGGCTTAAGCAGGAGTGTTTCTTAAGACTAAAAACATCTCCTTTTTTTATCATTTTTTAAAATTTTCGGTTTTGAAAATAATTTCATATGAGTTTAGCACCTCCAGACACCTATTTCTAGTCATTTAACGGTTATCCTGACACCTGTTTCTGGCCATTTAACGGTAACCATCCTTTGAATGGTTAGTGTGTAACTTTATTGTTAAGATATGCGCTGGAGTCCAATTATTGTATGTAAAGATCTGGACAGTAAAACAGGTACTGTAAGGATTAAAGATAATATCGGGGGATAAGGTCTTTGATCCCATTGGATGAGACGATGCAGCTATTGGCCTGGCATATGTACGTATGGACTACAACATACGACAAAATTTATGCACTGAGTACTTTGAGAGTGAAAATACTGTCATTCCATGGACGCCCCTCACGAGGTGAGGCACATAATTGCTTTTCACAGGACAAGAACCTCCGTTCATTCGGGTGATGGTTCAGACTTGGCAGGGACCACAGGGATGTGGACCCTTGGCTGTGGGGACCATAGGACTCTTGGCTGTGGAGGCTTTACATGGTTTGATATCGAAGGTTGTCATTGGGGACTTGGCTCCCTTTGATCAACTGTGGGGGCGGTCGATGTCTAACTATATTCTTCGTTTTCTTAGGTGGATGACCTATCGTCTACCATTGACTTTGTGCTTGTAACCAGACTATGTGAAACGGAAGTTGTTTCTGTGGGTTAACCAAGGGGGGGTTAGTCTATCTTGTATCGCCTCTAGGACTTGGGCCGTTTAAGGGGATTCATACACCTTAAACCCCTTATGATCTTCGAATATGTGACTGTTGCATGAATTGGGATATTTTATTTATTTTAAAAGCAATTACTTCCAACGTTTTACAGCTGACTACATAATATAGCTGCTTTGGAAAATAGTAACCAGAAAATTTGTGTTGCCACAAATATTTTTGTAATTTAATCCTCTTTGTGACAAAATATTTCGCCATGTTTTTACCTTGCGCGCACGATATTTTAAAAATGGCTAATAGTACATACTTGAAATTTGATGGAATTTTTTATATGGGCACTACTTTCTAACTGAACCAACAATCTGATGAATATTTTAATACTGAAAATTTTATGGACGAAAACATTAAAATTTTTGTTAATAAAATACATTTTATACACTTAACTCAAAATAAAATAAAAATTTAACATGAAATTTTTAGAATTTTAGGTTCACAGTAGTTTCCAAATGTTATAAAAGCTATATATTAAATATGGAATTAAATTATAAAATAGAATGTTTTAAACTGTGCGCGCAAGGAGGAAACATGACGAAAAATGTCGTCAGAAAGCGGATTAAATTATAAAAATATTTCCGGCAACACAAACTTTCTGATGACTATTTCAGAAAGCAGCTATATTATGTAGTCAGCTGTAAAAAGTTGGTAGTAATTGCTTTTAAAATAAATAAGTTATCCCAATTCTTGCAACAGTCACCTATTCGAACAAATTATGGGTTTTAAGGTGTATGAGTCCCCTTAACTGTGTGAAGGCAGCCTCGTGCTTGCCGTGTCTGGGTGCCTCTTCCAGCTAGTGCACTGTCATTCCACGAAGTGGCTACTATATTCAACCGCCCTCAATCCATAAAGATTGCCCTTGGATGTACTCTTTCCACTGTCTTCTCTCTCGAATTTTTCTCTGAGAATCGTAAACTGGTCCATTATTACTACCCTCTAGTATGCCTGATTATTTAATTGAAGGTATCGACATAGAAGCAAACTTTTTGTGCAGTTCAGATCTGGTCACGTCTTTTTTATGATAAATTTCGCTTGCGTGCGCAGCGTGCACTTTTCTTTCTGGTTTCGTACTATTTTCTCATGCTAAAAATGTACCGAAACATCTTTTGTTTACTATAAAATTTTAACATAGACTATAAAGGGTGGTCATAAAAAACTTCCAACCCGCTTTTTTTCCTGCGTAATTCGATCAACTCAATGAAAAGCCAGAAATGACGTTGAACGATACACGTATAACGGAAATGGACGGCACGTATAACGAAAATGGACGGCAAAGAAGATCCTTTCACAGGACCAGTGACAATACAAGAGAGGAAAGGGTAAAACACTTTTACTGGAATTACAAGTTTTCAATGTACGCAACATTTCAAGGTAGTATCATCTCCCGTAACTTTGCAATTTCGTTGCCACCGCGATCGTCTGACCCCAATGTGATGGATTTCTGGTCCTGGGGTTACTTGTAATCCAAGTTGTGCACATCAAATCTGCGAGATTTGTCAGAACTGAAAGATTCTCCATACAATGTGAAGATGGACATGTTCCTCCCGCGATGCTACGTTCGTCATCGCTGTTGAGAATCTCCCACGTGTAGTACGTTATCGTCTGCGAAAATGGGCACTTTGATAACTTGTATTTTCAATAAAAGTTCCCCCCCCCCGGTTTCCTCTCTTGTGTTGTCATTGGTCCTTTGCAATGATCTTCTTTGCAGATGTTTTACGCCGGAAATGTTCGTCATACGCGTGCCGCTACAACGCCATTAGTTTTTCACTACGCTTATTAGTTTAAGCAGGAAAATTTTTTAAGGGTGGGCACTCGCCATTTTTAGGCTTTCGCCACTACAGCCAAAAGTGCTGATCATTTTATTATGGAGGCACCTAGTAGGCGGTAACCGTTAACTCCTTTTGAGGGGACAGTTATTCTACATCCATGTCTTCTACGGGATTCGAACCGGGGACCTTCAGTATCGCAGTCGGCTGCCCAAACCGTGTGGCCAGCAACGCAGGAAATGTGTAGGTATTGTCTTTCGAAGATTTCAAAATTTTGTCACTGTGACCGTGACAGCTATATTGTTTTAAACCATCACAATCTCGAGCGCATACTCTCAGATAACAATATCTGAAATTTCACTTGAACGGTTGAGTAAATAGGCCACTATGGAACTCATATACCCCAAAATGAAGTGTTTTATGACCACCCTGTGTACCAGACTTCTTATCTTCGTATGAGATTTTGTGTCTCACTTATCCAGTTATGTATGTCGAATTTACTATCACGTCCTTAACATCTGGCCTTCTCTAAGAAGTCTTTTCTATTGCCATACATAATTGAAATGAGAAAATCTTCATGTGTTTCCAGAACGTTTTCATTATGAAAAAAATATATTTTTCTGATACTTGAGGTATTCATTCTTCTACTCATTTTCTCTTAAAAATAAAAATTCTTAGAAAATAAAAGATTGAGTATTTTAGGCAGCTAACTATTTTAACAGGCAGAGGTTGTTCTAGAAGTTTAAATCTCCCCTTGGTTAAAACATTACTGCAGAATTTTTGAAGCGTCTAGAATTTCTGAGTGTTGAATGTCAAAGTCCCTTATGTGATATTTCTTGCAGGTTCCTTGTGACGTAGGGGAGCTCCTGATCAGCTTGTGTTATAACGAGAATCTGGAGCGACTCACAGTAACTGTCTGCGAAGCCAAAGGTCTCAAAACTCCCGAAGGCCAAACGGGGCTTGGTAAATTCTTTCTCTCAGTACATGTTTTATAAATATGTTAGAAGTTAAACATACAATGGCTCCCAAAAGTGTTCGTACACTTATGATTTTCATAGAAATAGGGCTCTATCCATTAATTAAAAGTAAACTTTCCGAATGAGATTTTAATAATAAAATCTATAATCTATTCGTAATAAAATTACATGAAATATTTTTTAAATATAGTGAAACTTTATTTTTAAGAAATTAATAATAAAAAAATGACAAATATTTTATCTCACAAAAGTCTTCGTACACTTCAAAAAAAAATCTCGACAGATTAGTAAATATTTTCATTTTTCGTTAAATTAATATTTAGTAAGCGATCCCTTTAGCATCCACAACAGCTTTTAAGCAACTGGGGATAGATTTTACTAATTGTTTTTGTAATTTCTGTATCAATGTTCATCCGTTCTTCCATCATGACTGTTTGAGTTCGCTTTTCGTTTTGATGTCATGTTTTAGTACTCTAACCTCCAGTTCTTTCCAAATGTGTTCTATGGGGTTTAAATCTGGCGATTGAGGTGGCATTTTTAAAACCGGTGGACAATTATAGAGACACCAATGGCGAACGTTGAGAGCCGTATGCTTAGGATCGTTACCATGATTAAAAATAAAGTTGATTCCAATATCCAAATTTTGGGCTGATAATTTTAAATTGTCTCTTCAAATATTTAAATAAAGAGAATGATTCATTATGCCATCAATAAATACCAAATTACCTAGTCCTGATGCTGCCATGCACCCCTACACAAGAACACCTCCACCGCCATGCTTTACTGTTCCAAATAAGTTCTTAGAATGTAGTTCCTCATGTTTTCTTCTCGACATTCTCTTTCTTCTCATTTTTTCTCCTCTTTCAGTTGCTCGACCATCGGAACCAAAAATGTTAAATTTATTTTCGTCAGCAAATAGGACATTATTCCAGTACGTTTCGGGTGTATTAATCATTGATTTTGCGAATGAAAGCCTAAGCTTTCTATTTTTCTTACTAACGAAAAATTTTTACGGAAGAACGCTCATGTAATTCAGCTTCTCTGAGAACTCGTCGAACAGTTTCAGGTGAAATTGAAGTGGAAAACTTTGCATTAAATTCTGCAAAAAATTTTACAGCATTCAAACGTGGGTTTTTCACAAATTTTTTAATAATAAATCTCTCATCACGTTTTGTTAACTTTCTCGGTCGACCTTTTCTTACTTTATTTTCAATCCGATTTTCTTCTTTAAAGCGTTTTATCACATACTGCACTATACACAGACTACCAATAAGTATTTGGACACCTATGCAAATGACGATATCAGTGGTCCTAAGGTATGTCACGGACTCCGCTGGTATATATCGTGTAGAAAACAGCATCGGCTTTAGTCGCATGCAAGATGCTTCGCAGTTCAGAGCTCTCTGATTTCCAGAAAGGTATAGTTATCGGGTATCACAAATGTGGCGGATCCTTAAGGGACATATCTAGCGATCTGAAGTATCCAAAATCGACAGTGGCCTATGTGATTAAGAAGTGAAAGGTGAGCAGTGATTGTCGGAATGTGTCCCGAGTCGGCAGACCAACGAAACTGAGAGATAGAGACCGACGAGGGCTGTCCAGAGAAATTCGGAAGAACCGCACCCAACCGATGGCCTTCATCCGTGAGGAGTTTCAACAGGCATCCGTGAATATTGTTTCAATGAATACCATCCGTAAGGAAGCACATCTGTTTGGTTTTCATGGTCGTGCTGCTGCCCATAAGCCTTTGATCACAAAGTCCAACCGCGCTGCTCGGTTAATGTGGTGCAAAGCACATCGAAATTGGACCCCAGATCAGTAGAAACGGGTTCTTTGGAGTGACGAATCAAGGTTCACCCTTTACCGTTCGGTTGGCAGGGTCTGGGTCTGGCTTCTACCTGGAGAACGTCTCCTGCCAGAATGCATTGTGCCAACAGTCAAGTTCGGCGAGGTGGCATTATGGTCTGGGGGTGTTTCTCCTGGTATGAGCTGGGACACTTAATCCCCATTCATGGTAAGCTCAACTCCGATGCTTACTGCACTATTTTGGATGACAATGTGCTTCCTACGTTGTGGCAGTTTTACGGGTTGGACCCCTGTTACTTTCAGGACGACAATGCCAGTTGTCATGTTTCGACGTTAACCAAGGCTTGGTATGGGGCCAACGGAGTTCATCGAATGGACTGGCCTGTCCAGAGTCCAGACCTGAACCCTATCGAGAACCTCTGGGACGAGTTTCATCGCCGAATTCAGGGGTGCACTAACCGTGCAAAATCGGTGAAGGAACTTCTATGTCTTCTCCAATCTAAAAACTGGAGTGGAAGAAAATACCACTAGCTGTCATACAAAGACTTGTGGAAAGTATGCCCCGGAGGGTCCATGCTGTAATTACCTCTCGTGGAGGCTCTACCAACTATTGATTTTGAAAAAAGTTAGTTTTTCCTTTCTATCACAGGTGTCCACATACTTATTGGTAGTCAGTGTAGAATGGGATAAATTAACTAATTTAGCGATGTTTCGGATTGATTTACCACTACTATGGTGAAAAATTATAAATTTTTATAATTTCGTTTTTGTAATTTTCGACTGCGACCCATTTTTCTATAATAAATAGAATTAAAGCAAACGATTTTTTAAATGCCACCGCAATGCAAAAATTAAAAAAAAGCGGCAAACTATAATTCTCATTTTGATTTTATCCGAAAGTATTTCAGTGTACGAAGACTTTGTGAAATAAAATGTTTGTCATTTCTTGATTATTAATTTTTTAAAAGTAAAGTTTCGCTATATTTAAAAAATATTTTATGTAATTTTGTTACGATTAGATTATAGATCTTATTATTAAAATCTCATTCCGAAAGTTTACTTTTAATTAATGGATAGAGCCCTATTTCAATGAAAATCATAAGTGTATGAACACTTTTGGGAGCTACTGTATATTCTTAACTTTAAGGGGACTCATACACCTTAAAACCCAATAAGATCTTCGAATATGTGACTGTTGCAAGAATTCGGATAACTAATTTATTTTAAAAGCAATTGCTTCCAACATTTCACAGCTGACTACATAATATAGCTGCTTTCCGAAATAGTGATCAGAAAGTTTGTGTTGCCACAAATATTTTTATAATTTAATCCGCTTTGTGATAAAAAGTTTCTACCTTATGTGCACAGTTTAAAACATTCTGTTGTATAATTTAATATATTGCTTTTATAACATCTGTGAAACTACTGTGAACCAAAAATTCATGTTAAGAATTTCATGTTAAATTTTTACTTTTATTTAGAGTTGGGTTTATAAAATATATTTTATTAAAAAAATCTGCAATGTTTTCGTGCATAAAATTTTTTAATATTAAAATATTCATCAGATTTTGGGTTCCGTTAGAAAATAGTGCCCATATAAAGAGTTCCATCCAATTACAAGTATGTACCCTTAGCCATTTTTAAAATATCATGCGCGCAAGCTGGAAACATGACGAAAACTTTTGTCGCAAAACGGATTAAATTACAAAAATATTTGTGGCAACACAAACCTTGTTGTTACTAGTTTCCAAAGCAGCTATATTATGTAGTCAGCTGTAAAACGTTGGAAGTGGTTGCTTTTAAAATAAGTAAAATATCCCAATTCTTGCAACAGGCACATATTCGAAGATCATAAGGGGTTTAAAGTGTATGAGCCCGCTTAAGTTAAAATAACATAATAAAGATTAATTTAGAAGTCAAAGAACAAAAATCAGTGTTATATTTGAAAATTTTCCAGGACTAGTTTACCGAGGCATCGTCCTCAGCTGCTAAAGTGCAAATGAACGAGATCATTCTTAGATGAAGGAGATAAAATAATATATTATCTCGTTCATTTGCACTTTGGCAGCTGGGGTTGGTGGTTCGTTAAAACCATCGAAACTAGTCCTGGGAAATTTGCAAATATAACGCTGATTTTTGTTGTTGACTTCTGAATTTATATGTTCTTAAATGAAACCTTATTCTACATTCAGTGAAATGATGTTGTAACATAGGATGAGTTAGATTATGTTTCACAAAACTTCTTTAACTTTTGAATATTAAGTAGTTACTGAAATGATGCCAAAGAGTTCATTCAAATGTACTTAATTTCATTCGCCTGGGGAAAATTAATAGATTAGAATACGATGAAACGACATTTTAAGGTAGTATCTTCCGTAATGGTGTGATGGAAGAACAAAAGTTGAAACACTATTTCAGGTATTCGCGAATGGTTATATCTTCGAAACTACAAACGTTACATTCAGTCGAAATGCATCATTAGCAGATGAAAAAGCATATTAGCAAACACACACACACAAACGAAAATTAAAAATTGGACAAAGGGTATACGCATAGTAACGCGTCAAAAATAGCGAAATTTTGGTGACGTCAAAGCTTCGTGCGCATGCGCGATCGCGTGTGAATGGCAAGGTCGTCTGGTAGGCAGTCAATGTGTTCGGGTGGTGTTTACTGTAATTTATTTTATTTCGCTAGGTGGAAAGGTCGTCTGGCAGACAGTGTCAAGCTGTTCGGGCGATGTTTCTTGTATTTTAGAGTCCGCCAGAAAAATGCATACACTGTTTTTTAGGGAAAAAAAAAAAAAAAAAAAAAAAAAAAAAAAAAAAAAAAAAAAAAAAAAAAAAGTTTTTTTATTTTCAAATGTGTTACAAACCTAAGCATATGCTTACATTAGATGTTCAAAATGTTGGCCGTCGGCAGCCAAACACCTAACTGAACGACGAGCCGTCGCTGCACCTACAGTGATCAATGTCCCAATTGAGACCTATGCACATGTTTCTTCTCGAGAAGGTTCTCGAGCATGCGCGGTTTACTTCGATACTCTTCATCTTTCACAGCTTCCCCACAGGGACATTTGCACAAAAAAGTCCGTAGGAGTACGATCTGGTCAACGGGGAGGGAATTCAATGGTCCCTCTTCGTCCAATCCAATGTCCCTGCAGATTGTCATCCAGGGAAGCTCGTACTTCAAGGTGATAGTGGGCTGGAACCCTGTTCTGTTGGTAGAAGACCTCATCGTCTCCATAAAGTACATGTATAGCTGGTAGACTTAATGTACGTAACATTTGCAGGTACGCTTCTGCAGTGACAGTACCATCAAAGAAGAAGGGTCCTGTCAAACCCCAAGATGTAAGTCCACACCAGACAGTAACCCCTGTTAGATTGATTGACTTTTCCAACATGGACGTGCGGATTTTCTGGTACCCAGCAGATACAGTTATGTCGATTGACAGTTCCATTTAAAGCGGGTCTCCTCAGACCGCAGTACCATCGTCACAAACTGCAGCAATGGTAACTGAGTTACCATCTGCTGATATGATTCACAAAATTGCATTCGACTATCGAAATCATCATTATTAACTCTTTGCGGCACTGTGTGCCCGGTCTGGACACACCTAAAAATTTCCTTCTGTACGCACAGAAAAATTGAATGAAAAAGGATTTATAGGCTACTATAGGTTACTCTGAACCTTCTTTATTTATAGTAGATGGCAGCTCAGCACAAACGAGTCCATTAATTTTAGCCATGTTTAGTTTTTTAAGACCCTCATTTTTCAAAGAAATCTTCCAGATTTTTTTAAGGTATAAAAGGAATTGTTTTAAAAGAAATTTCTGTGCTATTTTTTTTGGCTGTATGCTAATCTCCTTATTCTATATTAGTTTTAAATTTTTACCTTGAAATCTTGCCTAAAATCAAAAAGCGAAACCTACGTGTGCCCAGACCGGGCTCACCGATCATCTAGGTCAACTGAGAGTCTGTATTCTTTGTTTCTCCGCATCTCATCGGTCAGTTCATTGACAAAAATGCTCGTTTCAGCACTCTTTTCCAAGCTGTATTCAATCAGCGTTCCACTTTGGGCACAACCACAGAATTAAAACGATAACTGCTATCTTCTCAAAATTTTACTTGTGTACTCCTCTAGGCCTAATTAGACTGCCTACCTTTTTTTTTTTTTTAATCAAAACTCCGACTTTGAAAGGTAGCGTGCCGGAAAGGGTTAATGGCATGCATCAATCGCGGAATGTAACATTTCCACTTAGCGTTTTTCAAAATTCGACGTAGGACAAAAACAGCTATAAATTCTGCTTTGAACGACCGGAACGGTAAAATAAAAATACTAGTTTGGGGAAGCTTAATTTATAAGACTTAATATTAAGAAATAATAATTTCTTCAAAAATTTTATGATTATAATGTAGTCAAACATATTAATACAGTTTGAGTTCAAACAATAGATGAAAATGAGAATAAATTCATTCTCTTTCTTTCTCTTTTTACTTCCTTGTACAATTTTTCTCCTTGAAGCCAAACTTTGGCAATTCTTTTCCTTTTCTGTTTGACAATACTATGCATTGTTGCTTTACGTACCAAAAAATCATGGCTTCCAGGGCAATTTTTAATAATTGGATACGAATAATTTTCTTTGGAAAGATCACAAACATAGCCTTCTATCCACTGCTTCTTTAAAATCGCCATTTTGCATAAAAACAAAACTGTCAAATAGCAGATGATTATTTACACCTTCAAAAATATAGCTGCAGTTAAAAAAAAAATTTCCATTCAGGTGATTTTTACTTCCTTGTACGAAATAAAAAGGAAGTATTGTAATCACGAAAAATTCCGGGTAACATATTTCAAAGAAAATATCCATTTTGAACGTTATCGATAGCAAATTAACGATGTTTTTACATAATATCTGTACCTAAGTACAGAATAAAGGATTCTTTTTATCCTCCAAAGGAATTATAAAACTGATTTAAAATGGATTCAGAAAAGATTTTTTTTCGTGCGTCTGTACGTACGTACGTATGTACACTCCGCGAAAAAAGGGACAGTTGTAAATATCCCGTTCTACTGGGCCGATTGACAAAATTCAAATTGCCTTTTCCACGTCTTAAAAGCGCGACTTAAAACATATTAGATTTGTATATATCTTTGTTCTAATATAGGTATTTTGACACAAACTGGGACTTTTTTCTGAAATAACACACCACTTGTTTTTACATATTTCGATTCTACGACTCAAACTCTGCCTAAATAATATAATTTGTAAAATTTGGTGCGAAATTTACAGAGAAATTCAAAAATTAAACTTGGCGCATTTATCCAGTTTGAGCCAAGAGTAATTCACTTGGCGAACTTCTTCATATATGGCAACCTATTTTCCTTTTCCTTCCATTGCGCAGGAGCGGAAAAAAGTCACATCATTCCTACTTTCAAATAATTTTAACAAAGTGTGTAAACCACATTTTCGTTATTATCGCTTTCAACAAATATGCCAAATTTCAAAACGCGCCACTACATAAATTCACGTATATCTTTGGGAATTTTGAATAAAAAGCTCTAATTTTTTGCAGGTATGCTTTAGAAATACATCTACTGTAAGATAGTTTTAAAAGTTTTACTCGTTGTAATTAAAAATTTTTTTCGAAAAATTTATAAAAATTATTTTTAAATGCAAGTTTAGAAAATAAATCATAAAAATGGGTGAATTTTATTTGGAATGAACCTAAATTTCGAATTGTATAGGAAGGAATCAAATAAGTTTCATTAAAAAAAAGAGATATTAATAAAACACATACCAAATTAAATTAACATTGACAAGCTTAAATTTTGAGACCTAATTTTTTAAAAACGACTCGTGCGATTTTTATAAAACTTGAAAGTTTGGCGTAATTTCAGTCGTAGAATTGAAATATGGAGGAACATTGACATGTCATTTCAGCAAAAGTTCGATTTTGTGTCAAAATACCTATATTAGAACAATGCTATATATAAATCTAATACTTATCATTAAGTCGTGCTTTCGAGACATGAAAAACACAATATGAATTTCGTCAGTTGGCCTAGTAGAATGGGAGATATAGAACTGCCCCATTTTTTTAAAGTATGTATGTATGTGTCTCGTATAACTCAAAAAGATATAGCCTCAGAACATTGAAATTTTATATGTGGAACTGAAATAACATGTAGGTGTGTACCTTCCTTTTTGGTTGCAATCCGCCGCACCAAAAGTATATAAATATATATATATATATATATATATATATATATATATATCCTCTGTTCCTCAGCTCAGTTTTTTTTTATTCTTATATTCTTGTATGTAAACTGTGCAATTTTTGCTTTACAAATAATTGAATTATGCTGTTATGATCTTCCTGTTAAGGTTTTTTATGCTTTTAGTTAATCTGCATGTAATAGCTGTAAATCTATCAACAATTTAAAAGTTGTTTAAGTGCGGCTAAGTCTAACATTTTTACCATAGCAGTCATATTTGCTTACATTTGAAACTTAGCAGAATAGTGGATTTTTGCCAATCTAGACAAAGTTCAGCTTCGCAACAACAAAAAAAGTCTTCTTATATTATTAAGAATTAAATCATGCTTAATGGATTCTGGAATTATCATTTAAGTTATTAAATTATGCCATATACTCACTCAATATAGCGTGCACAACAAGTTAAGTGAGTTTTTACGCCTTAAGTGTCTTTTTGCCGACTGGGACCAAAACGAACTTTTAGTTTTGTGCACCAAAAAATATGCCTTTTTACCTGCTGGTCGAATTTCTTGTTTTTGGCAGGAACTCTAATTTTAATTGAAATTTTTTAAATTTTTTTAACTGTATTTTTGTGTTTTATATTTTTCTATATCTTTCAATTTTTAATGAAGATATTTCCAGTTTTTATGTATTTTTGCCTTGCCGCGAAGTGAGAACTGAATTAAATGATGGAAAAATCTATCTTAAACGAAATTGGAGGAAATAAATATTTTGTATAAGCAGCAAATATTGTCGCCTGTCTGACTCGCGCAGAGAAAATGTTTAGGGGTAACACATGCGCATTCGGTAAGCGACGCTGAATCGTCTGTGAAAAACTGTTTCCTTTTTATTTGTTTAATTTCTTTTACACATCGTTTTAGTTTTATTAAGATATTTGAATAGAACATGCGGCAACGATTAGATAATTCTTCAGATGACATAACTTTTTTGCATTCTGGTTAAGGTTTTTATGCAAATTTAGTAAATCTGAGATGTAATATGTTTTAGAATTGTCAACAATTTTAAAGCTTGTTTAAGTGCCGCTAAGCGTAATATTTTTTTTTTTGATGGCGGACATTGCTTGTTTACATTTCAAACGGCAGCAGACTAGTGGATTTTTTGCCAATCTAGAGAAAATTAGCTTCGCAACAACAAAGAATAACGTCCTTCATTTATTATTGCAAATTAAATCATGATTCATCCTTTCTGGAATTTTTTCGGAAGGAAGATTAAGTTCGTTTAAGATTTACTTCGTAATTTTTAATACAGATATTTTGAGTTTTTATGTATTTTTGCCTTGTCGCGAAGTGAGAACTGAATTAATTGAATGAGAAATACTCAATCGTCTGCGAAAAACTGTTTCTTCTTTTTGTTTTGTTTACTTAATTTCTTTTATACATCGTTCTAGCTTTATTATAGTTTTTGAATAGAACATGTGGCAACGATTCGATAATTCTTTAAATGATATAAATTTTATGCATTCTGAATTATAATATGAGCGAAATATAATACTGTTAAGTGAACCTAGCGCCAGAGTGTCGTTATGGTAAACAAATAAAGTGAATTTTAAAGAGTGCATTTATTCTATTGTGGTTTATGCACTGTCGGCGAAGTAGAATCGAATAAGTTTAAATGAAATGTTGTATTGTGGTTTATGCACTGTCGGCGAAGTAGAATCGAATAAGTTTAAATGAAATGTAGAAAAAAATGCGCATTATTTATTATTCCGTACAAGGAAGTCATGTGATGTAAACATCAGATTTTTTTTAATAATGCAGTAATATATTTTTAAAAATTAATGTTTTATTTATTTATTTATTTATTTATTTATTTTTTTAATTTCAGATTCGTATGTAAAGTTGATGTTCATGATTGAAAACAAACTGATCAAGACGAAGAAAACAGTCGCAGTTAAAAAATCAACAGATCCCAAGTATAACGAATCATTTCACTTCCGCTTACCCCAAAAATGCCTAAATTCTGCCAGCGTCATTTTGCAGGTGACTGCGTCCGGAGGACCCAATAAAGGTAAGAAAAAACTACGAATCCTATATTAAAGACAATTGCGTTTAATTGTCTGTCTGGCACTCACTGATTTTATGTATTAAAAATCGACGCTAATTCAACGACTAGATTTTATTAAATGTGCACTATTATAATGATTTATTAGAAATATCGTAGTTGGCAGTTTATGTGCGCGTAAAAATATAATCTAAATACAAAACATACATTCAGCATCTATTTATTTTATTTTATTGCATTTTGTACTTTTTAACTATATTATTGAGTGCATATGGGTTCATAATAGATTGAATGCACAAAACGCTGGACTTCTCCTCAAAGATTTTTGTACAATATCGCAATATCACGCAATATAACCAGTAGCTATATTTTAAACTGTTAAAACGTTAAATAGAATGCAATCCAAAGCGTAGAGAAAGCTAATTCGATTTCACCGCGAATTCGCTACAATCAACAACAGTTATCTAAGCAACAACTGAGCTGAGATGTTTCTTTCCGGCTTTTATAGCTTCTTTGAATCGGCCACGCGAGACAGTTCTAGCAATTTATGTAAAATAAAAAAAAAGTAGAATTACTGTTACAGCTAACATAGTAGTCAATTACATTTATTCAAAATAAATGTCAATTACAGAGATAATTTTTTATTTAATTTTAAATGCGTGTGCTCTTGTATTTTTAATTTTCCCGCGTAGTTTTCGTTTAAAATCTGTCTCGTGCTGAAGGGGTATCAGAAACCCCTATACTGACAATGTTAAATTGGCCATTTTCGATGTACCTTTTCTCAAAATCTGCTGTAGATACAAGCTTGAAATTTTTTCTGTAATTAAAGTATACCTATCTGATTATACTGAAATGAGCTTTTGAAACATTTGAATTTTAGAGTAAATTACAAATATTTTGTTAGGCATAGTAAATTTTAGCACTTTCTGACACAAAATATTTACAATTTTTTTTGTAAGTTTATTACAAAGGCTCATTTCAGTAAATATAATGAACCTAATAAATAAGTCATAAAAAGTTTAGACACTGTGAGCATATTTCCTGGAAAAGGTACATCGAGTATAAAAAAAATCACGTTTGGAGAAAAACCGTTTTATGTTAAATCCTCATTGATCAAAAGCAGTTGATGACAAATTAAAACTAGATTTTTTTTTTTTTTTTTTTTTTTTTTTTTTTTTTTTTTTTTTTTTTTTCAGTTTTAATTTTCATAGATTAAAGAATGGATTTATAGAAAGATAAAAGTGTAGAAATTTGAAAATGCAAAAATCCGAAATCACAATTTTTTTGAAGATTTGGGGGTTCTAACTCCCCTTAATTACACCAGGGAAAAAATAATTTAAATTAGAATTCTTCTAAATATAAATAACTAAATACAAAATTTGTAACAATATATAATATTAAAATCTCTGCGCGTTTGTCTGTCTGTTTGTTTATGTGTAACATCATCTCCTCCTGCTTGTTTGTGTGTAACTATTAACATTACATCATGTCTCTCTTGTTTGGCCATGTACAGTCTTTTTCATGTCTCAATAAACTCCCGATGCAACCTCTGGGACTGCAGGTATTTGAATACAATTGATTCGATAGGGAAGGGCGGGAGACATACGCCTGCTTACCTATGTTAGGCACCAGGTCTGCCCGTCCTCCGTAACCTGTGTAACATGATGTCCTCCTGTTTAAATGTATCCTCCTGTTCATTTTGTTTGTACATTCCTCCTGTATCTCATCCTCCTCATCTTCATTTGTTTGTAATTCTCATCTCTCCTGTTTCCTTGTTTTTGTTGAATTCTCCTTATTTGTTTTATTTGTTTGTAATATCATCTCCTCCGCAACGGCAGGGAGTTTAGTTTCCAGCGTGAACTTGACGAAGAATCAAACCACAATTTATTCAGCCAATATCACTCAGGACAGTTTCAAAATCACGTTTGCAGTCGTCGCGAAACTACGACAAACACACTGAAACAATCAGCAGGGCAGCCTTTTGACTATCAGGGTATAACGGTAAAGACAGCTTCACGGCAAAGCACAGTTCCCGACTCGGTGGATCGCTTTCGGATCTCAACACATTGCTACTGAACTCAACGATGCACTCCGATGTACTGCTACTCCGCATACAGGCAAGGTTTATATAGTTTTTGGCCTGCCTTCGAGAACATTCCGGACCAAAGTTTTGAAACTAAGACAGAAAGAGGTATCTAAACTTTCAGTCGAAAGAAATTTCAAATAGAGCAGGAGGAGAAATGAATTTTTGAAAAAATGCAGTCACTAAAGTTGAAAGTTAAATACTTTTTATCTTGCTGTTTAAGAGGACCTGTTCTTATATTGCTTAATGTTTTAATACCTAAATCTAAACATATACAAATCAAAATACACTTTCGAATTGCTTCTTTCCGAATTCCTGCATAAATTGAACACCAGTGGTGGATGGAGGGGCGGATGGCAGCATACTTGATCACAATCACATCATTTTGCCTTTTTTTCGTAGCGATTATTCAGAAATTTACTTCTGGTTAAAAATGATGCAATGCTAAACACGCCTCACGTTTTCGATATACAATGAAGAAGAAGGCGAAGAGAGGGACGTGGTTTATTCAGGCAGCAGCAAGCGACAAATGCATATTCACTTCAGTCCTATTTATAACCAGAAAATCACTGTGTTAATCCTGAACAGCGGTTGAACAACAGATATCACAATGCAGAGGGATTGCAGGGAAAAAGTGACGTAACATGCGGCAGAGTGACGCAAAATGGAGTGAAGCGAATCTTTGAAACGAGGATGTGTTTAATTAAAATTTATACCAATTGGTTGCAACCAAGTTTAATAATTTTATAACTTTGCTTTATATTTTATGTTTTACATATATGTATTTGTAATAATAAAATTCCATAGTCAAGAATACACTTGAAATTCTAACTGTATGTTCTTTTCATTTTTAATGGCGATGTTCTCTTATTTGAAAGTACGTAGAATTAAATCCACAGCCCCGTAGTCAAGTTATTTTTTCCGCCTTTTTTCTACACGTACAGTTATAGAATGTTCTGGAAATATTTAAAGCGAACTGGAATGGCTGACGAGGCTGACGTCTTTTCTTGGAAGCTCCGCCTTTCCAGAGGCTATAAAAGGACTCGCAAAGGAATATCGGAGGCTTTTTTTTAAATGTAATGATGCAGTAAACTTCATACAAAAAGTTATTAGTAATTCTTTTTATTTACTCCGGATATCTGATTTTATAACTGCTATTTCTCCTGAATAATAATAAATGGATCCTGTTTTTAAACTATCGTCTGATATTTAGCTCGACAAAGCTGTAATCACATATATGTAGTATTTGTTGTTTAATTTCTACTTATGATTATTTCTAGAAAGGGTGTAGATTGTTGGTAATTGAAATTAGGAAATGGAAACTAAAAGACTGTTTAAAAGCTAAAAAATATGTAAAAATAATTTAAAAGTCGTTGGTATTGCTTGCCTTGAAAATGTTACATTTTCCTGACAAAAAAAAAAAAAAAAAAAAAACCCCCAAAAAAAACCCAGTAATATTATTTGAATTTTAGCCTGCTAATTGACTGAACCGATCTGCCGCAGGGCTGATGTTCTCAGATTAGACCCCCCCCCCCGAAAAAAATGATTTGGGAATATGTACATGTAATGGGGAACTTGGAGAACAGCTGCGAAGCATTAGCGATGGTTCTTTTGTGTTCTAATAACTTGCAGAGGCTTTACAGTATTGTCAGAAGGCACTAACACTTGAAGACGGCACGCCAGCGGCTGAACGGTCTCTGAACGCTGGTAGTTCGGTCAGAGGTTCGAACCCGCGAACTGACTGGCTGCATGATTTTTCTCATGTGTGTGTCAATATGAGTCAGTTGCCTTAGAAAGTCCTCCACGAAGGCATCCCTTCCTTCCATTTAGTGCCTTAGGACGGAATACGTAAATAATAATAATAACACTGGAAGTCTGTCTTCCAGTGTTATTATTGACATGTAATCAGTTAAGCTGCTATAAGCGCCCCCCCCCTGTTTTATATAAAACACATCACATTTTTAGATGATAGGCGAAAGTTCCATAGGGGCGAAACAGATCCTAATAAGTGAGAGAAGTCAAGAAAAGACAGTGCGTATTGAAAAAGCTGGGGCGCAAAAGGAAATACGAACTAGTATTGAACAATATTATACT